AAACAGAAAAAATACCAGAAACAACATCATAATAAATTAAACACCCCCTCCCCCTCCTCTCCCCTCCCACCCCCCCTCACCCACTCCCCCCTGGGGGAACCCGCGGGCGGGAAGGCGACACAGTAGAGAAGTTGATAGGACGTAGAGGCTCCAGATGGACGGGCACCCTCTAAACAAAGAAAGGAAGGGAGGGAAAAGATAAAGGTAGCAAAGGGGGAAAGAATAAAAACAGGAAGGGGAAAAACGAGTAAAAAGAGAGAAAAAGAAAGGATGAAAAAGAAAGGGAAGGTGTAAGGGAGAAAAGAAGGAAGGAGAAAAGAGAATAAGAAGGGAAAAACAGGAAAAGAGACAGGGGTTCACGATTAAGGATAAGGAGAAACAAGCTTGACCTCGCACCCACGTCAAACGCGGGAGTCAGTGAGCAGACAGGATTAAGACAGTACAAACCACCTCCGCTCCTGCCAGATTAACAGGGGTCCACTCCGACACCAAAGATCCTAGACCTGAACTCGCAAGGCACGCACAAAATCCTGTTTCTCCCCCATGCAGTTGGTCACTACACGCTACCTGTCTTGGCACAGGACACAAACCACCTCTGTCACACTAGGTGGCCTAACATAGCCATAACAACCGTACGCTAGAGGGAAAGCCCTACCCACACAAAAGGTTTTTAGGACCTACGAGTCCAACTAGAATGTTTCTTAAGACTATTTGATGACTTGCATGTCACCATGGTTGTTCACTATAACTATCTCATGTCTGAGACGTGAAATGAAAAAGCCTTTATTGGACCTGCGTGTCCGCGATACTGTTTATACATAATATGGAAATTCTTTGAATAAAAGAAATTTACAAAAAAAAAAATGAATACCTAGGCAGCAAGCCTGCGAGGTAGAGACGATGGTCGAGCCTATAACTTAGAGGGAGACAGACACAGGGGTAGCAACACGTAAGGAAGCAAAGACCAGAAGTTCTGTTTTGGACAGGTTAGGTTTTCGGGAGTGAGCAGCCATCCAGTTAGAAATAGCATAGAGGCATTCAGAGACGTGAGTTAAGAGGGGTGAGGAGAGATTAGGAGAGGACAGATAGATTTGCAGGTCAGCCACATAGAAATGATATTGGAAGTCAAAGTCGTTGATGAGTTTACTAAGGGAGGAACTATACATCAAGAACAGTAGAGGACCAAGTACCGATTGTTGGGGAACAATCCATATACAGATATGTGGCCACACACAGACATAAACATATACCTATGCACCTACACAGGCACAAACATACACTGGCACAAATGCAAACATATAGACATATACCTACACACACAGATACACGCACATATGCACACTGACATACACACATACCTACATACACACAGATATACACACATACACACACTGGCACACATACACACACAAAATTTACATATGTTTTCCCCACTCCCGCTTCCATGCCTTTTGGGTGCAGGAAGGTGAATTCCTGGGGCTGGCTGATGCTGATGGGAGTCTAATACTCAAATCACTAGAGGCCATGACCGGGAACTCCGATCATCCATTTATGCTCCAATTCAGATACCGACAACTGAAAGGGCTTATACAAGAAACCACCCGAAACAATCACACCCTCAGACCCTTAACAACGTTTGAAGAGATATGCATGGACCCGGACCCGCTGCCGAGGGGCCTAACAACGCTCTATGGAATGATCATGCGGTTGAGGAGGCTACCACCCCCAAGCTTCATGGGGAAATGGGAAACAGTTTTAGGCACCACATATGCACCCTCTCACTACACTGCGCACCATCCAGCGGAACGCAAGAAACAGCATACAAAATACTGGCCCTTTGGTACCACACCCCACTCCACACACCTATACGACCCCACGAAGGACGACGTATGCTGGAGGTGCAACACACACAAGGGAACATATCTCCACATATGGTGGGAATGCCCAATCATCCAACCATATTGGTCAGCCATTCACACGATCATAAAAAGATTCACAGACTCCCCACCACCCATGAACCCCGCAACATTCCTCATCCACCACACCAAGACAAAAGCATTGACATATAAAAAATCCTTAACTATACGGATACTTAATCTAGCCAAAAGCCTAATCCCCCTCTATTGGAAAAAACAATGCGCGCCTCCGTTAGGGACGTGGTACCAAAGAATGGAGGAGCTGAGAGCACTGGAAGAGCTCTCCCTGCTGGCAGAAGGGAGGACCCAGACGTACATGATGGTCTGGACACACTGGATACTGACCTCGACTAACGCTGACTTCCAGGATCTGTTGACTTGACTGAAGACGCCTGACGGGACAAAAGACTACCTTGACTGAGAGAGCAACTACACAAACAGAAAAAATACCAGAAACAACATCATAATAAATTAAACACCCCCTCCCCCTCCTCTCCCCTCCCACCCCCCCTCACCCACTCCCCCCTGGGGGAACCCGCGGGCGGGAAGGCGACACAGTAGAGAAGTTGATAGGACGTAGAGGCTCCAGATGGACGGGCACCCTCTAAACAAAGAAAGGAAGGGAGGGAAAAGATAAAGGTAGCAAAGGGGGAAAGAATAAAAACAGGAAGGGGAAAAACGAGTAAAAAGAGAGAAAAAGAAAGGATGAAAAAGAAAGGGAAGGTGTAAGGGAGAAAAGAAGGAAGGAGAAAAGAGAATAAGAAGGGAAAAACAGGAAAAGAGACAGGGGTTCACGATTAAGGATAAGGAGAAACAAGCTTGACCTCGCACCCACGTCAAACGCGGGAGTCAGTGAGCAGACAGGATTAAGACAGTACAAACCACCTCCGCTCCTGCCAGATTAACAGGGGTCCACTCCGACACCAAAGATCCTAGACCTGAACTCGCAAGGCACGCACAAAATCCTGTTTCTCCCCCATGCAGTTGGTCACTACACGCTACCTGTCTTGGCACAGGACACAAACCACCTCTGTCACACTAGGTGGCCTAACATAGCCATAACAACCGTACGCTAGAGGGAAAGCCCTACCCACACAAAAGGTTTTTAGGACCTACGAGTCCAACTAGAATGTTTCTTAAGACTATTTGATGACTTGCATGTCACCATGGTTGTTCACTATAACTATCTCATGTCTGAGACGTGAAATGAAAAAGCCTTTATTGGACCTGCGTGTCCGCGATACTGTTTATACATAATATGGAAATTCTTTGAATAAAAGAAATTTACAAAAAAAAAAATGAATACCTAGGCAGCAAGCCTGCGAGGTAGAGACGATGGTCGAGCCTATAACTTAGAGGGAGACAGACACAGGGGTAGCAACACGTAAGGAAGCAAAGACCAGAAGTTCTGTTTTGGACAGGTTAGGTTTTCGGGAGTGAGCAGCCATCCAGTTAGAAATAGCATAGAGGCATTCAGAGACGTGAGTTAAGAGGGGTGAGGAGAGATTAGGAGAGGACAGATAGATTTGCAGGTCAGCCACATAGAAATGATATTGGAAGTCAAAGTCGTTGATGAGTTTACTAAGGGAGGAACTATACATCAAGAACAGTAGAGGACCAAGTACCGATTGTTGGGGAACAATCCATATACAGATATGTGGCCACACACAGACATAAACATATACCTATGCACCTACACAGGCACAAACATACACTGGCACAAATGCAAACATATAGACATATACCTACACACACAGATACACGCACATATGCACACTGACATACACACATACCTACATACACACAGATATACACACATACACACACTGGCACACATACACACACAAAATTTACATATGTTTTCCCCACTCCCGCTTCCATGCCTTTTGGGTGCAGGAAGGTGAATTCCTGGGGCTGGCTGATGCTGATGGGAGTCTAATACTCTGTGTATGAAACGCACCCTTCTCTGTGTCCTTCAAGCCCATGCAGTCTCAAAGCTGAGAGGAAGTAAGTCACTACCCAGCAGCACTCTTTGCAAACATTAAGGGGGTCTGGTCAAGTTGCCTAAGGGCTGCAGCACCGACTGGGTCCCTGATGAGACCTGCCTGTCTGTCAAATTTGCCTTGTGTATGGGCTTCCCAAGGGCCCCCAACACCAGAGGTTCCCATCAGCGGTAGTTCTGCCTATGGCTGCAGTGCCGTCTAGGAGCTGCACTATTTTCTTGGGGGGGTGCAATAAATTTTTTTTTAATAATCACAGCAGGATTAGAAAAAAGTCTCCAGATGATCATGACCTAATTCAAATAGTAGGAAAAAATATACATTTTCACCCAGAAAGACACCAGAAAAGGAGACAACTATTCAAAAGGGTTGAATAAAATGCCAAACATATAGTAGATCTTGCAAAAGAAAGAAATCTCTTCAACATTTGTAAAAAAAAAATTCTAATTATGCATAGGTACATAAGGTGTGACTACAAATGGCAAGGAGAAGAAATGTTGCATTTGCTGTTCGCTAAGTTGTTTTGCCTCATTTTTTAGGACTTGTGAGGACAGTTTCTCCCATTGATGCTTGGTTTACAGATTTGAATGTTGCAATATATCAACCACATTTAAAATATTATTTCAGACTATCCCAACTGTGATGATACTGAAGACAATGTGGAATACAATAATCATGGTATGTATCTATTTTATTTTAAAGTATACACTGAAACAAAAACTAATTTGATTTCAAGAGTTTAATTTACATAATTATTTAAAATCAGTACAGACTGATAAAAAGTATAACAGATGATAAGTTAGTATATATGGGGATATTAATTATAAAATAACTTGGAATACATTAAGGAACCAGACTGTGTAAAAACTTAATTGCTGAAGTACACATGAATATACACAGCTATTATCTCACCAGATCTGGAGCTCAGCAAACCACGAGGCAAACAGAAGCACGTATCCACAGAAAAAGGTGCTTGCTAACGCAACTCTTGAAGGTAATCATCAAGCCAACATTGTGATGTTTCTCGGTAAAAAAAATATAATTTTATTGAGTTGCTTAAAAAGCATACAGCTACACCACAAAAAGATTATGAAGATAGCATATAAAGTATGGACACTTGATGTGTGACCAAGTCACACATCAAGTGTCCATACTTTATATGCTATCTTCATAATCTTTTTGTGGTGTAGCTGTATCAAAAAGCCTGTAAATTATTCCAATAAACTATATTTTTTACCAAGGAACGTCACAGTGTTGTTTGAGGATTATCTTCAAAGGTTTTTCCTGTGGATAGCTACTTGGAAATAAAGTAAACAAATTAAATTATCTATGGTGTATGAATGAATAATCTGCTGGGTCCTTTCCCCTCTGTCTTAACCCTGAATACTGGAGAGCCTGAAGTTCCTAAACAGAAACTTCCATTATCTCTCCTGAGCTAAGTTCTACAGTGCAAGGCTTAGCTCATTGGCCGAGGGTGTCATCTGATTACTTCACCCAATAAGCTAAGACTTGCCAGGCTGGGCTTAGTTCAGGAATGTTAACAGACATTCCTGCTTAGGAGTTTTCACTCTTCATAGTTAATCATGGAGGTGAGTTGTGGTGCCCAGATGACCCCATATTATACATCAAACCATTAAATAATGGTTTGACTATTTACAATAGGGGCACTAAGACACTTCTGGAACCATAACCACTAGAGTTAGCTGTAGTGGTTATGGTGCCTGTTGTGTTCCTTAAAAATATTTACAATACTACATATCTATTAGATATGGTAAATTGTACTGAAATTCTATAATTTCCCCTCACTTTCCACTAGAGCAGGGGTTTACAACCCAGTCCTCAAGTACCCCCTAACAGTCTAGGATTTAGGGATTACCTAGTTGTGTCTAAGGAGTTTTTACGGAAAAGAAAAAAAAAACAATTTAGATACAACAGGGTAATCCCTAAATCCTGGACTGGTAGGGGGTACTTGAGGACTGGGTTGGGTACCACTGCACTAGAGCACAAACTGACTCACTGATACTTAATTCTACCTGCCTGAATAAGCCGTTGAGAGCAGCTGTGGATTTGTAGAATTTATTAGAACATGAAACCTTTCCAGTCTGAGCGCACCTCATTAAGTCCATAGAGGTGATTGTTTTTAAATGCTTAGGTCCATTAACTCCCAGTACATCCCAGTAATTTTCTTCCAAAATTACTACTTAGACAGTAATCGATAGGTAGAAAACTGAGCTTGTAAGGGTAAGGTAGTGAGTTTAATTCCTGTCACAGTGGATTGAAAGACAACACATTAAACCAGGAAGCTAAAACCATGAAATTCAGAACCGTACCATACATATTTCTCAAACAATGTTTTTTTTTATTATCTGATTTAGCAAAAAACAGTCATAATAAAAAAATATATATATATTTCATACATATACAAAATTTAAATTCTGGTTGCTAAATTGAAAAACAAAGCTCCTAACCACTGTAGAAGAGCACACAAAGTAACAGAGATCAGTTGTAATATCAGTACTACATGTGCCTGCTGCTAATGTGTCATCTAATAGCAATACTATATTTATTATTCATTTTAATATTCAGTAAATACCCCTGTATGTAATTTCATTAAAAAATTCCCCCAGTTTCTGGTCTCTGTGTGTTTTTTGAAGCATGCTGCCAAATTATCCCAGGTTTCCAGGACAGTTTCATTAATGCCATGTGCTGTACGTCTTCAAGTTTTTGTTTTTTTTAAACTTTTATTTATAATCCTTTATTACTATTACATTTTTAAATTAATATCAAATTGTACATGATTCTCAAGTAGTACAATAAGCCAGTGGCATACATACCGTGGTCGCAGGGGTCGCAGCTGCGACTGGGTCCGTCAATCCAGGCGGCCGCCCTGTGGACCCCTGTGACCGGATGTCCATCGCTATGCGTTGTGGCTATGGCCCGTGTTGCAAACCAGTAGAGATGAATTTCCAGGGGGATGACATCACAGCTGGGAGGAAGTGACTGCCCGAGAGCCCGCATGGGAGGAAGGAGAGGGAGTCAGAGTGGGAACTCTGACTCCCACTAGCCTGAGCCACTGCACCTCAGGGAAAGTCACCCTCCTGCAACTACAAGGTTTTTGTTTGTTTGTATGTGTGTATGTGTTTGTTTGTCTGTCTGTGTGTGTCTGTCTGTGCATCTGTATGTATGTGTCTGTATGTATGTGTCTGTGTGTATGTGTGTATTTGTGTGTCTCTGTATGTATGTGCGTATGTATGTGTGTGTCTGTCTATGTGTGTGTGTCTGTATGTATTTGTGTATGTGTGTGTGTCTGTTTGTATATATGTGTCTGTCTGTCTGTATGTATGTGTGCCTGTCTGCCTATATGTATGTGTGTGTGTGTGTGTGTGTGTCTGTCTGTATGTATGTGTCTTTGTATGTATGTGTGTATGTATGTGTCTCTGTATGTATAGGTGTCTGTGTCTCTATGTATGTGTCTGTGTCTCTATGTATGTGTCTGTGTGTGTGTCTGTCACGGGAGGGGGAGGGGGGGCTATGGATCAGTTTTGCACCGGTGCCTCATGGATTGTGTGTACGCCACTGCAATAAGCATAAGTATAATTGAAGCTTACACATATTTTTTTACAAAAAAATACTGAAGTTATTTTCAAATAATTTGTAATTCATATATTACACTAAAAATCCAATCAAAACACATTACAAAGATAAAATAAATAAGCAGGTAAGTAAACATTCAGGGATCGTCTCAAATGAAGGGTGAATCATTAGTGTTAACATTTTTTTTCAAGGGAGTCACATATCTTTATATTTCTCAGTGTTACCTCTGGAGATATACACAATATGTTCCATCTTATATTGATAAATAATTTGATTATTATTATTATTATTATTATTTATATAGCGCCATCAGATTCTGTAGCGCTGTACAATGGGATTATAAACTGTTTTCCAATTACTTTCATCTGAGTATTTTTATTTATGGACTATAACGATCTTTGCTGAAATTAATATATAGACACTATTAGACTTTTCTTACAGATAGGATAATTCACATTCCACAAAAATATGTATGACATCAACAAGTTAAAGTGAAATAGTTAATCTAGAAAACATTTAAAGGAATTCTCCAGTGCCAGGAAAACATATTAGTTTTCCTGGCACTGCAGGACCCTCTAGTGCCCCTCTCCCTCCCACCAACCCACCATCCCAAGTTGCTGAAGGGGTTCAAACCCCTTCAGTGACTTACCGGAGTCCAGTGCCAATGTCCCTCAGCGCTGGTTCAGGCTCCGCCTTCGCTTCTCAGATCTAATGTGCATGCGCAACCGTCGGCGGAGGAGACCTAAAGCGCATGTGCGGTAATGGCCGCGCACGCGCATTAGACATCCCCATAGGAAAGCATTATACAATGCTTTCCTATGGGGATTTCGGCGACGCTGGAGGTCCTCACATAGCGTAAGGACGTCCAGTTTCATTTTTGAAAATGTTCTGTGGACACGGAAGTCTCCTCTAGTGGCTGTCTAGTAGACAGCCACTAGAGGAGGACTTAACCCTGCAAGGTAAATATTGCAGTTTATGAAAATTGCAATAATTACACTTGCAGGGTTAAGGGTAGTGGGAGTTGGCACCCAGAACACTCCAATGGGCAGAAGTGGTCTGGGTGCCTGAATTATCCCTTTAAAGTAATGACTAAGAGAGTCAAGCCTTGAGCACTTCCACTATTTATATATTAATTATCCCTTTTCTAAATGACACCTCCAACAGCTATTGGAATTCTTTATGGAAATTTGTCAATATGTAAAAGATGCACAAATGGGTGAATGAATATTTGTCTATATAGGTCTTACATGGTGTTTTTTTGTTGTGTAAAAATTTAATTTTTTTCAAAAAAGATCATTACAAACAAAAAAGATGCACAGCATATTCAAGATGTGGTCTTACCAGTGATATATAAATAGGCAAAATTATATTTTCATCCCGATAATTAATGCCCCTATTTACAACTGACAATACCTTACTGGCCTTAGCAACTGCAGATTGACATTGCATATTGTTGGCTACTTTATTCTCTATAACACTTTTCAAATCCTTATGTCTTGTTATCCCTAATTCACTACCATTTAGGGTGTATATTGCTTGTGAATTCTTTACCCTGAAGTGCATAGCTTTGCATTTTTCTACATTAAATTTAATATGCCATTTTAATGCCCAGTCCCCCAACTTATCTAAATTCCTCTGCAGCAAAGCAATATCCTGCTCACATTGTATTACTTTACAGAGTTTTGTGTCATCTCCAAACACTGAAACATGGCTTTCAATGCCTATTTCAAGAACATTTATAAATATGTTAAATAAGCGGTCCCAGAACAGAACCCTGAGAGACACCACTTGCCACTTTTGTCCAGCTTAAAAATTTACCAATAATGACAACCAGGCCCGGACTGGCCATCAGGCATCTCCCCTGCCGGCCCATTCAGAGCCCGCGCTATCGGAGCGCCGGCCCTGCTGTATGCCTTCATCGGCCGGTGGGGAGATCAAAGATCTCCCTCACCGGCCCACAGGCACTTTACAGGACAGCCGGCGTGAGAGGAAGGGAGAGCGCGGAGGACCCGGGAGCTATAAGCTCACAGCTCTGCTAGGTTCCTCGCACGAGAGTGAACTCCAGGAGCTGTGAGCTCACTCACCAATATGGCCACCATGGATTTCCCACCAGACCACCAGGGCTGGCAGCAAAGTCCCCCCCTCCCTGGCAAAGGTAAGAAGGAAGTGGGGATATAAGATATATATATATATATATATATATTACTCTAATCTTCCCCCCACTGCACCCCAAACACACACTCTAACTGCAACCCCTCACAAACACACACACTCTAACCGCACCCATCACACACAAAGACTGCAACCGAAACACACACATCACACACACACTATCTATCTGCACCCCAAACACACACACTCTTACTGCAACCACTCACAAACACACACACACTGCACCCCAAACACACACATTAACTCTAACTGCACCCCCCCACACACACTGTGACTGCACCTTTCACACACAAACACTGCAACCCAAACACACACACTGCACCCCAAACACACACACACACAGACAATGCACCCAAAACACATACACTCACTCTAACTGCACCTCTCACACACAAACATTGCAACCCAAACACACACACTGC